CCCCCAGCCCCCCCCCCCGTGCTAACCTGACGAGCTTAGGGGGGGCCTGCGTGGCGGCCTTGCAAACTCAGAGACCTAAAGTAGATACACAGGATGGTCTGAAATGAAAACTTTTTGACTAAAAGCAGTTTACGGTGGGTCGTCATGTCCCAGGCCGGTCTCTTCCCTGACAAAGGTCCGTCTTGACCTTAACTGAGCCGTCTCTGGCCTTTTGCGTCTGAGATAACAGTCCTTTGGAATGTGAGGGTGACTCCGTGGTTTCCAGACCCCTCAGGGCACAACCCAGTGCCCCGGGGCGGGGACCACAAATTCTCATTGTTACGTTAATTGCTGACAGAGAACCTCCTGCACCTACCGAAGGAAAAGCCGCCTGTGTCTATCATTTTACTTTTCACCCACCCCCAGGGGTTCCCCTCCCGCCTCCCGCCTCCCGCATCCACACCCGTGGGCTTCACGCAGCCCACTTAGGTCTTCATGGAACCCACCGTTTAGACTGTAATGTGTAAATCAAGGAGCAACACTGCCCTTCTTCGGAGTGTTATCTCAAACCTTTAAATAAACTGACAACGATTCTTCACAGGTTTGAATGTTTCTTACGTTAAATGTTTGATTCTTCACAGGTTTGAATGTTTCTTACGTTAAATGTTTGATTCTTCACAGGTTTGAATGTTTCTTACTGCAAAAGGCTGCTGCTTCGGTTCCCAGTCATGGCACCTGCCCAGGTTTCGCGACGGATCCCCAGTAGGGGATGTGCAGGAGGTAACCGATCGTCGTATCGCTTTCCCATCGATGTTTGTCTCTCTCTCTCTCTCTCTCTCTCAAAATCAATAAAATAAAAAAAATCCCGGCCCTGGCCGGGTAGCCCATTGGTTGGAGCACCCTCCCCATATGCCAAGGTTGCGGGCTGGCTCCCCTGTCAGGGGCTCGTACAAGAAGCAACCAACAAATGTGTAAACAAGTGGGTGTTTTCTCTCTGCTCTCCTTCCACTCTCTCTAAAATCAAGTTTAAAAATTTAATTTAAAAAAATTAAGATTTTTTTTATAAAGCCTTTCCGTGGGACTGGATGCTGTGACCTTTGTTTCTTCCCAGGCACCAGAAGACGGCTGTCGGGCCAGCCCCAGGCTTTCTCTCCAAAGCACACGTCCCGACCGGGCGTCTCCTATTTTACTGTCTTCCGTAGCCTGGACTGTTCTTTTCCCTTTACCTGTAGGACCCGACTTAGCCAAGCTCTCCCCTACTATTCCCGCAGTTTCCAATGACACCCTCATTTCCTCCGAGCGCCACCAGAAGTGCCTTCAGTGTTCATGTTTCTACCAACGGCCCATTTATGGCCATTCAGGTGTGTCACCTAGGGTGACACAGGTTTTCCGTCCCATGGTATATGTCACCTAGGGTGACACAGGTTTTCCGTGCCACGGTCCTCATTTTCTTGAGTCCTTACTAGCAGAGCTGTGACCATCCACACGTCTACCAACTGTCTATTCAAGGCAACCTGGGCTTTTCCTATCACGCTTCTCAAAGTCCTGTCAGTCTCCACTTGCTCCTGAATTCCAAAGCCAGCCCCGTTTTTAGGTATTTGTTAGAGCAACACCCCCCTCCGGCACCGTATGGGCATTCTGTGCGTTTGCGCTGAAGTGTGGCATTTCATTGAGTGACCCTCCACCACGTCACCCGGCCTACTGCTCGTAGGCACTTGGGTTTCTCCAGTTTTTAGCTACTTGAGTGAGGCTTCTGCAGGGGGCTCCAGCAGCAAAGGCGTCTGGGGAATGCCGGACTCTCTGATTAACCTTCCGTGCGACTGGTTAACTCTGTAGCCTCAGGCTTGGCTGGCGGCGGGACAGCTGGAATGCCGCCCAGAGATAAAGCCCAGAGATAAAGTCGGGCCCAGAAGGAGGCTAATGAATGCACAGAGTGCGAAGCCCGCCCGGCGCTATCTGTAACTTAGACCTGCGCTGTTCTTCCTGGCAGTCTACCTGCCGCCCCACCACATGCTTTTAGCATTAACCCCTGTAAAAAAGAGGCCCTGTCCTGTGAGGGTGGGGATGGTCCCCGGCCACCGCCACTGGGAGCAGCCGCTTTGCCCGTGTGCGCAAGTCTTTCCAGCTAAAGCCCTAATGCATTTGAATGAGCTACGTGTCAGTTCTTCAGAATCGACCCTGAATGCAGACCTCTGGGGCCTTCCCCCAGCACCCCTAAGAATGAGTCTCTGTGTGTGTGTGTGGACATGCGCTTTTATTTCTCTTGGGTGACCAGGTGTGGAGTGGCCTCGGGGTGTCTTCTTTTTCTACTTGGTCTTGTGGGGACAGCCAGCTTCCAGGCTGCTTCTAGAGGCTGGTAGGTTATCACTTCATTCCTCCTGATTTCATCTAGGACGGTCAGGCCCATTTCCCACCCTTGCTGGGACCTAAGCCTTCCACCCCTCTCGCCTTAACCCGGGTTCCTAAGACCTTTGTTATTTCTGGAAGCTCCGTGCGCGGTGTTCGCTCAGCTTTGTTCACCCTGTAACTGGCACTGTCTTGCTCTTGACTCCAGCAAGGTAGTACGAACATTTTGGGGGGTAAGGGTTTAGCCAGCACTTCTGTACGTTTGTGGAAAGGTGAAGGTGCTTCTGCATCAGCTCATAGTTAAACTTTAACCTTTGGGGGAAACCCTTTGGAGTAAGTCATATATATATATATGTATATATATATATGTATATATATAGTTAACCCTCACCTGAGAATATTTTTTCCATTGCTTTTCAGAGAGAGTGGAAGGGGGAGAGAGAGAGACATCGGGGGGAGAGAGACACATCCATTGGTTGCCTCCTGCACGTGCCCGACCTGGGCAAGGCATCGATCCTGCAACCCAGGTACGTGCCCTTGGCTGGAATCGAACCTACAACCCTTCAGTCCACAGGCTGACGCTCTAACTACTGAGCAAGACTGGCCAGGGCCGGAGTAAGTAATACTAATATATTCATTTTACACATGAGCAGACTGAAGTGGAGGGAGGTTAAGTAGCTTGTCCAAATCTAATTAGGAAAGCCAACATTTTAGAGACGTCTCAACCTTCCTGGGGTTTCCTGGAGGACACGAGTGAGTCTCTTATCCAGGTGGGAATTTCTGAGAATAACTGAGAGGCACGGCCTGGACGGTGTCCCAGGGTCACCGCAGGCCTGACAGCGTGACTGTCACCAGATGACACTGGTTCAGCGCCTAGCACAGGGCCTGCCACATAATAAGTGTATAAATGTTTGAGGCTATTCATATGCTTAATGAATTATCATTTTCTCTGCTTTTAGAGTCCCCTCTCCTCTCCCACCGTAACTGGCAGAGCTGTAGGCAGCCTCCATACCAAACCTCCTGAAACAAGACGTGGTGGGCCGACCAGAATTCCCTGACGCAGGATGTCGAGGGGCAATGGCTGGCTGGCGTCATCGCATCGGGGGGTGCCACAGGGGCGGAGGGCGTCTCTGGTCCCAGCAGTATGGGGTTGCTTCCCAGCCCTTCTGTTGACCGGCTCTGCCATCTGAGTGCGTTGGGCTTCTCTGGCCTCGGTTACCTGGAGATCACAGTATTACTGGAAAGGGGACCTGGCCCTTGGCAGGTCTGCCTGGAGCCAGCTGGCAGTGTTGCTGACTTTGCGCAGGAAAAATCTCACAACACTAGTCCAGGTGAGTTTTAGAGGACATTTATTACAGCTGGGGACAGTGACACAAGGAAGGGCCAGGGAAATGAGCCTCGGCTGGGCCGCTTGGCTCACTAAGAAGTCAGAGAAAAAGGGGCCTTGGGGACAGGTTCAGGGGGTTTGCCCGGGATGAACTGCCACTGCTCTTTGCTGCCCTGGGTGTAAGCTTTGTGGGGACCCTAGAGTTTGGAGACGTGTGCCTGGGGGGGAGGGAAGGGGGTAGGCACGGGCGTGCCCTGGGAAGGAGAGCTCGTGCGGGGACCTTTGTTTTGAGGGGTTTTTAAAGCTCAGCAGAAGTTCAAGATGGCAGGGGCTGCTCTGTGGTCCTGGGTTCCGAGTGCCAACCATGAGTGCCATCTCTTTGTGGTTCCAGGTCACCGAGCGCTGAGATTGTTACCGCAATGTGACACAGCCCATCCTGAGCAGTACGTGAACCGGTATTCACGTTTCTAGGATATACTTACTCCTCAGAGCATTTCAGCTAGTCCTTTGAAAGGTCCCTGGCAGGATGGGAATCCTTGGGTTCTTGTCGGGTGACGGACGGAGCCCCTTCCTGCACGCCCACCTGTGCCGGGAGGCCCGGGCGTCGGCGTTCAGCACGCGAGGTCTGTGAGTTTTCGTCGACAGCTGTCATGTTCCTAAGTGGAAAGCGATGCAGGCAGTACAACGGACACAAAGGACACACGGGCCGTCTCCACAGAACTGGATGCTTGCCGTTAATCTAAAGGTCCTAAAAATCAGAAATCCTGCCACTGACTCATCCAGGCGACACGGAAATAGTGTAAGAATTAGGCTTCTGAGTGAGGCGCTACCGAGGTTACAGGCAGGCGGGTTTCGGCGCAGTTCCCCACGACCTTGCTCACCGCTAGGGGTGCCTGTCCCCTCCTCCTGGCGTTCAGAACCAGGGGCTCGTTCCCACCCCTAAGCCTCGCTCCATCCCGTTCAGCTCCATCAGGAGCTCGGAGGCGGGACCTCCCCTGGTCATCCCTGCGGTCCCTCCACAACCCCCTCTCCCACTGCCGCGCAAACTTTGGGGCCTAGAAAACACTCGGGAAACGTTTGAGGGAATGAAACAAACTTTCCAACTCCGAGCAGTGGTCTTCCACCTGGTCTGCACATTAGAATCGCCTGGGGGAGCTTTAAAAAAAAACCCCAAAACCCACCCTGGCCAGTATTGCCCAGTGGTTGAGCACTGATCTATGCACCAAGAGGGCGCAGGTTCGATACCCGGTCAGGGCACATGCCTGGGTTGTGGGCTTGATCCCCAGGAGGGGCGTGCAGGAGGCAGCCGATTGATGTCTCTCTCCCCCTCTCCCTTTCTCTCTAAAAATCAATAAAAACATATTAAAAAAAAAATCCCAAGTCCAGGCCACACCCCAGAGTGATTAAATCAGGATTTGTCAGGTGTGGTCTAGGCAGAGTTTATCCAAACGCCGCCCCCAGGCGATTAGGAAGCTCAGACAAGACCCAGAGCCGCTGAACTCAAGGCTGGTGACCACGCGTCAGGGGCGCTCAAATGAAACAATACATTTAATCCGCTGCTATTCTTGAGTGATGCCTAATTTTATCCTCGCATAATGCTTTAGTTTCCAAAGGGCAATGAACTTTTAAACATCTAATAGACATGTTACAATCTACTGGCGGCAGAGGTATGTAGCAAATAGTATCAAGAAGTAAGCTCTGTGGGTGTGTGCTGGGAGGGGGGGACACGACACGGTCGACGACGGGGGGATGGGGGGAATGCGGACGGACGTACACACGGGTGGAGTCAGGGGCCAGGGGCCCTGCTGAGCCGAAAGGAAGCCCAGGGTGGGGAAGCAAGCAGAGACATGAGTGTGTGTCACAGGCCCTGCAGTGTCCCGCTGTCACTTGGGAAGGCTATTTGCACATCTGGAGAAGGGCCTCCTGGGTTATGGTGTGGGGGGGGCATCACGGATGGTGCCAGCTCCCACAGATGCCCTGGTGTGCTGGGACCAGAGTGTCCTAAGTGTGGTGGCCTGCAAGTGAGGCAGGGTCCAGTACCTATAGCAAGGGGAACTGGCCACTTGGGGACTCTTCCTAGGACCCAGGCAGGGGTCTGGGCTCTTGACTGGCATAACTCCCTGGCATGGGCAGGCCTCAGCATCCGCAGGTCCCGACGCAGACTTTGGAAACAAGGCCGACCCTGACGGCGCACCGCCGACCCCTCCAGCTCCCGCTTCTGCCATTTCCGCCCCCGCCTCCCCACCTGCAGCGCCCGGACCACAGCCCTGCAGCCCTGTGATGCCTCAGGGCCCTCGCTCCGCTCCCTCCTCCGCCGGTCCCGCGGGGATCAGCTCAGGCTCCACCCCATCCGGGCTCCCTCACCCCTGGGCGCCGGAGACCCTCCTCTGCGGTGAGCCCACAGCCGTCTGGGCACAGCCCGGGCGCGCGCTCCGTCCCGGTCCCCCGTCCCTCCGTCGGTCCTCACCACCTGGAAGGCACCTGGAGCACCTGGTCGCCTGAGCACCCAGCCCGGGCCTGCGCGACCTCCCGGCGGCAGCGGGGGGACTGGAGCGAGCGGGTGGAAAGCGAGCGCGTGAGTGGACGAGGGAGCGGGCAGACGCCGGACGGAGAGCGCGGGTGGGCGG